AAGTCTTGTATGATGCCACAAGGTGCTGATAGGCTACCGATTAAATCGCGGTACAAAAAGGAAGACGAACTCTGGAAGGAACTGCCTAACTCACGCATTAATACGTGCTCTCCTTAGAAAATAGGAAGTAAGGTACACAAAATAGCATATAGGAAACTATGCTCAATGTCACACTGTTGCGGCACGCAACCCGATCCAAATAACACACTCATGGCGGCGTGCCACCCGATCCACACATAACACTCACCTAAGGAGGTGTACATCGAGCTAAATTGCTCATTAATATAAAATACCGAATTTCGCTCACAAGCACGCTAAGTGCATAATACCGTCCCTGAGGGGACATATAGCGCTATAAGCTACCAAAACTCAAGCTCAACTGAGGAGCGATACACAATCTGAATATCGAGAGCCATTTTGCTCATAAACATCATTTCTACGTGGATCCTCAACACATAAGCATTTTCTCAAACCGTCTCACAACTTACACAGCACAGTGTATCACTGCATAAAACATCTGACAACGAAATAACACCCTGACTCCTCCATAAGGAGCGCATCACTGAAATGAATCCATTTGGCCTGGCATAGAGCCCATATTCACATTTGAATCCATCCATCGACCTCAAGCCGATCCTGATCACACTGAACTAGGTTAATTACCTTTCAAAGGTCCCTAACAACTCATCTTCCGCTCATAACACATAGGAACATCCATCAAAGTCGGAGGAATCATCCGTAGTTCACAACTCAATAGACTGAGTGCCCTCCGGGCATATATTCTCAATTCAACAATATTAACACAACCTTCATACTTGGTTCAAGTCTCCAATCAATCAAGTGACTAACTGCCATACTTACACACTCTTCCTGTGGGACATCCTCCCACAACCTACCATTACAGATAACTGGGTCGTACCTCCAAACCATCGGCCGCACTAACGCTGAAAAGCGATCAAGAATTATCAACGAGGATGCAAAGCCTTTTCACAAAACACTGTTCTCAGGTGACGCTGAAGACAATACCGACTTACCTTAAACGTCGAAACTACTTCCCTGCTCATCCGAGCTCGTGACATCCTTGTCCATACCGAGCTGTTACCTCTATCTTCACTTCAAATTCCATACCACTCATTGCACCCAACATGCCAACCTACGATAGGACACGCTTTTCATCAAAGCTTCGGAACCACTATTAGATTATCACTTCATCATATAAAATTTTCCACTTGACTCACTTCAGGAGAACCATAGCAACACACAGGTGAATCCTCATAACCGTAGAATATGCAAATCTCTAAGTAGTGGTCTAACCCACCATAACCCTTTCGGGATCCGCCTACACGTAACAGGCCCATAACAATGGAATACTCTTGAATAACATCAATTACGACGGACGACAGGCCTCACCTGTACCGCCACAAATCACACGCGTAACTTGATCATGCTGAAGGAATTGATCTCTACCACCAATATGCCATCAGATATATGGCTAACCAATCCATCTTCTTTCGACTTACCCTGATTCCTTAGGAATAATGGTAACTGCATTCAACATATAACTCCATCCATCTGCACTCATCCCGAGTGACTTTGAATCACGAGACCATGTTGTCTCACATCCCACGAACCATTTCGTACCTTCCAACTGCTACATCGCAAGTCAAACATCATAAAATATTCTACGAATTCTGAGCCATTACCTGTACCTTCCTGATAGTGCTACATAGAAGCCCACAATTGATATAGAAAAATTACACATCTTGGCCTCTCCCAATGGAGACTCAGTTTCTATTCACATATACAAATTTAAGATACCCAATTGTCATATGTAGAATCTCGACCACATTAGTACCATTCTCGAGAGTCATTTACTCTATTTAACTGCATTTAGCCTGATCAAATGAACAGAACCACCCGTGCCTCGTTAGCACTCTTACACCGCAGGATATGACCTCATCACAATACAAGTAAGCATCTTCCTGCCCTATGCACCGAGCATTCTTTACCAACAACAGCTCAAGGCATCCTGTGATTCTCACACATCTACGAAGCACCATATAACCTTTGTCAAAATTTTTGCTTCACTCGTGCCATCCTCGGCTCAATTTCCGCAACCAGAACTGATTCGCCAGCATGCCTCAAACCGGAACCAACATAGCACATAACCATACAATTAGCTCATCAATAGCAAACTCCCCAACTGGGCTCGAAGCCATAGATCAAAACATTCCTAACAACTCATAATGCACATACTCCATTGCTGGCTTATACCATAGTGAGATTAAACTCAATCCTTCATAAGCTTGTGGAAACACAAATCATCTAGAAATTTTTAACTCTTCTGCAAATCTCGCAATCACTCACGTAACAGTTAAACCCACTCTCTAGGCGATCCAATTTAGATGTCTACACATTTTCTTCACTTGTAAATGAGATCTTCTAATAGATAACATAAGGATCACACAACTTTAAATCACTCCGCAGGAGATGACCCACCTGCTTTGCCTCCAACTACCATTTTTGGTATACTTTCCACCGTCCTACACTGTACTCAGTCGCTTAGTCTTCCTGAGTCTGAACTCATACCGCAACATAAAATTTTTACTTCACTCTCAATTGGAAACATGAAGAGATTCTTCATGCGCCCATAACTCGGAGCTATACCTCGAATCACGATGGAAATTCAAACACCTAATAGTTCTTCTATCATCCAGTAGACCTTCATCACTGCTTCCAAGTCACGTAGATACATCTCGCAGTACTAACATACTCATCACACAGCTATCCAGCCGTTACTTCCAATAATAGGCACAATACCAAACATATAGGTTCAAACACTTGTTCACACAGTCAGCACCTCGGTGCTCAAGCCATAGGCAAAGATCTAACCTCAAGTCCTCCAGACTGGCCCAACATAAACTCACAGAGATTACATCTCGCCCCTCGATCGGGGAATCACAAGCCATCAAGGCACATCTGACACTGAGCGCTCGTTCGCGCATACGAACACGTGGAAGAAATTTCAAAAGTTACTTTTCAAGCTGAATCAAGGACGCACGATAAGAATTGAAGAATGTGAAGCTTTCCTAAAGGTTCTGCAGCCTCTCGAGGATAAGTACAGACGTCTCCGTACCGATCCACGAGACTCTACTAAATCGGCTCATGACTCGCGAGACCTAGTAACCTAGGCTCTGATACTAACTTGTCACGACCCAACCCTGGTCGTGATGGCGCCCAACACACTGCTAGGCAAGCCCGACCATTTAAACAACCTTAACCGATTAATCACAGTAGATAAGTAAATTTTTACAACTAAATACCAAGTTAAATGCGGAAATCCTAAAATAAATTCTAACATTCGGAAAGCCCAAAATATAAAATACTACTCAGCCCATAGAATCTAGTGTCACAAGTCTGAGCCTCTAATGCATAAGTATTAACCTACTACATAATGTTTTTCTAGAAATGAGGAAAACAAATAAATGAAATAGAACGAAGATCAGGACTGCGAACGCCAATTTGCAGCTACCTTAAATCTCCCGAATGTGATGCTAGGCGGAGAAGATCTCACTCAGCCTCAGCGGGTGCACCTGAATCTGCACACAAGGTGCAGGGAGTATTGTGAGTACTTCCAACTCAGAAAGTAATAAATATAAATAAAGTCTGAGGATAAGAAATCCTAAATGAACACAGAGCAAAGCTATAAATACAATAACGTGAACCAATAGCATAATACAGTAAACATTGAAAATAATTAATAATAAAATCACATCAGATTAAGAATAAATGGCAATTAAATATGCAATGCAACACATAAACCGGTACTCTCCAGTACCCCGCTGCGGCGTGCAGCCCGCTCCATTTATTCAACGTCGACGGCGCTCACTGAGGGTGTGCAGACTCCGGGCGGGGCCCCTTACGGCCCAAGCGCAATAATAAGCCATATCGTGGCATCAAACAGGCCCTGGCCTCATATCAATATCAGTATCATACCACTGCGGCGTGCAGTCCGATCCCATACTCAGTCCAAAATCACATAAGCCTTTCGGCACAATAATATAAAAATATTCAGCCCAAACTTCATATAAAAATATTACTTTAGTTTCTGCTTTTAGAAAAAAAAAATTGAGTTTACAAAACAGTGTTAAATACCAGGACTGAGTTCAATATCTAGAAATATGGTAAGAAACCAGTAAAAATAATCCCTGAAGGATTCAAGTAGTTGGCACGAAGCCCAATTATGACAATTAATCTATTTTTATAAGGATATCACAAAACTACAATCAATTAGGTAGTAATTTTATTAGGCGGGACGGACCAAGTCATAATCCCCGACGGTGCTCTACCCCACGTCCGTTATCCGGCGTGCAAGTCACCTCAACATAGCACTACAATGTACAAATTCGGGGTTTCAAACCCTCAACACAGCATTTACATTTATTACTAACCTCAAGCTGGCCAAAGTCCTAGCTTGCTATTCCCTTTCCTTTCGAATTAACCTCCTCGAGTACCGAATCTGATCAAAACCACAACAAATACATCACAATATGCTAATGGGACAATACCCAATCGAAAACAATCGAAAAATAGTGAAATTCCCGAAATTAGCAAAAGCCCGAGCCCCGGGCCCACTTCTCGAAAATCAGTAAATTTACCATCAACGGATTCCTTATCTCGCCACGAGTCTATACATATAAAGAACACCAAAATCGGATTCCAAATGACCCCTCAAATTCCCATTTTTGCTCTCTTAGGTTCCAAGCCCTAACCACCATTTTTGACCTTTGATTCCTTAATTTTTCAGTCTTAATTCATGTATTTGCATCATAAAATCGTGTTTTAGACTCAGAAATTCTTAGCTCAATGAAGTCCCTTGATTTCTCTCTTCCAACTCGCCCAAATTCTCCAAGTCCGAAGTGAAAATTATGAACCCTTATGAAATTTAACGAAGATGAAATTTAAATACACTACTCAGACATTTCCGCATCTGCGGCTCCATGGCCACATCTGCGACTTCCGCTGTTGCGGTTAATGCACCGCTTCTGCGGAAATATCCGCTTCTGCGGTTGAATATGCGCTCCTGCGACTTCCGCTTCTGCGGACAAAGTCTCGCTTCTGCGAATCCCCCTTAACTGCTCAACTTCCGCATCTGCGGTCCTCCTGTCGCATCTGCGACTCCGCAGATGCGGTCTGCTACTCCGCACCTGCGACACCTGCCGCTTCTGCGGCTCATAACTCGCTTCTGCGGTACCGCTTCTGCGGTCCCCTTTCCGTAGAAGCGAAAATACCAGAAGCAGCACAGGTTCTGCAATCTCCTAAGTTCAAAACTTCCCGTTAGCCATCCGAAATCACCCCGAGGCCCTCGGGACCTCAACCAAAAACACAAACATGATCCAATTCCTTATTCAAACTTGCTCCAATCATCAAAACACCTCAAACAACACTAAAACCATCATTTCTCATCGAATTCAAGCCTAAGTTCTTCCAAAACTTATGAAATATGCATTCGATCAAAAACCTACCCAAATCACCTCCGAATGACCTGAAATTTTGCACACACATCCCAAATCACATAACGAAGCTACAGCAATACTCGGAATTCAATTTCGACCCTCGGATCAAAATCTCACCTATCGACCGGAAATCGCCAAAATTCTAACTTTGCCAATTCAAGCCTAATTCTACTCCAGACCTCCAAACTCACTTCCGATCACACTCCTAAGTCACAAATCATCCCCCGAAGCTAACCAAATCATCGGAATTCATATCCGAGCCTTCTAACTCATAAGTCAACATCCGGTTGACTTTTTCCAAACCAAACCTTCCTTAAAGAGACTAAGTGCCTCATTTCCTACCAAAACCAACCCAAATCAATTCTAACACACCAAATACCGATGATGAAACATGAAGAAGCATAAAATGGGGGAAACGGGGCGGTAACTCATGAGACGACGGGTCGGGTCGTCACAAATAATCACTGCTTCAACACAAGATGCCGCAGGTAATTTTAAAATATTGATGAGTTAAAATTATCTACTCATTCTAAGCTTTCTTTTTACTTGTAAGAGAATGAATATAAGTGAGTTTAAAGTTCATTTGCTTATATATTGTAGCTCCCAGTTAGTTTCAGATTTTGTTTTTTTTTTTCGACTCTATTGATGAGTTTTTACAATTGTATACTATACTGTAATTATAAATTGACGCAACACCATACATACAATATACTTATTGGTGATAATATAGCATATATAGTGTTTCGCATATTTGATGTCAGCTTATAAAGAACATCTATGGACGTAGGTAAAATTTTCCCGCTTGCATACTCTATTGTTAATTCAGAGAACGATGCATCTTGGGAATGGTTCTTCGAAAGATTCAGAGAGACATACGGTGTAAGAGAAGGAATGTGTATAGTATCTGACCGACATGAAAGCATAGCAAAGGCATCTTCAACAGTGTTTCCAAGTGTGCCTCACTGTGTATGCATTTTCCACTTGTGGAACAACATAAAAGTGAAGTTCAAGAAGAATCAACTGCTTATGAAGGATCTTTTTTTTGCAGCAGCGAAAGCATACACGATTGAAGAGTTTGAGCATCATATGAGTGAAATTGATGACCTTGACAAGAGGGTTAGACCATATTTACTCAAAATCGGATATGATAGATGGTCAGTAGCGCATTCAACAGTCAACAGAACAACAACTATGACTTCTAATATTGAGGAATCGATAAATGCAGCAAATAAAAGTGCAAGAGACTTACCAATTCGTCCTTTGGTTGAATACATGGCGAACTTGATTCGTGATTGGAATTATGAAAACAATAAAACTGCCATGTATACCTTCACAAAGCTGAGTGAGAAATATGAAGACATGCTGCAGAAAAACATGATCAAATCTCATAGGATGACGGTAATATGAGTCTCTTGTATACTATATATATATATATATATATATATATATATATATATATATATATATATATATAGAGCAGTATATATTATATAGACTACGTATATTATGATTATATATATACATATACTATATATTTTCTACCACCATAATTTTAACATATTACAGGTGAAGCCGTCAAGCTATTCATTATATACAGTATTGGAAGATGGTATGNTGTCGGTAGTATAGTGGACAGTATAGGCCGATAACAGGTAAAACAATGCTAACAAGTACTTTCCAAAAAGAGATTGAGGCTTTTGATTGTCTTTGCAGAAATCTTCCAAAAAGATATATTATATTGATACAGAAAGGGGATATACGTGAGAATCATGGAGAAACCACGCAGAAAGGTAATATGCGTTATGAAATCATGGAGTATCTTTTATTTGAGAGATTGGGGGGAAATTGATAGTGATAGATACGTGAGAATCATAAAGAGATATTTTTAAGTGAGAGAGAATATCAAGGAGAGATTTTAGGTATTAAAAATTGTATATAATTTAATTAAAAAGTGTTGTTTTTAAAATAAGTTGTACTAAAAGTAATTTTATTAAACCAGTTGTAGAAAATATAAATAAATCTTTAAAGAGTTGTAATTTTAAATAAGTCATAGTTACTTAAGTATTTGTAAAATATTCCATAATATACAACTTGGTTTTGAATTACAAATTGTACAACATATATATTATAAATATACTCTAAAAATAAGGTAACTTCCCCTATATAAGGGGAATATCATCAAATCCTTAAGTAACGTATGAGACTTTTCCTGGTGTATGGTAAGCATATATTTAGGTTACCACTACAACACTACCTCAAAACAAATGCTCCATATTCCCTAAAAATAGGTAATAACCGTACTTGGTATGAAAATTATCGATTCTTGCACTGTTTCTTCCTGAAATCTCCATCTTTGTATACTTAAGGTAGGACTCTACTCTAAGAAACAATGGTGAATGTATCAATTCTGATTCAATACAATGGAGATTGGCAAGACAGTCGCAGATATGTTAAATTTGATGCTGAAGGGATTTTTATCAATTTGTGCTGCAATTTTGAAGAGTTGGTCACGACAATATCGAAGCAGATCAAAGGTGAGACTTGTACAAAGTTGATTGAAAATCATAATATACGTAGGCTTTATAATATATATTGCTTTATATACAGTATATATATATATATATATATATATATATATATATATATATATTGTACAACCATAATTTTAACGTATTACAGGTGAAACCTTCAAGCTATTCATTATATACAGTATTGGAAGATGGTATGCGATATGTGGTGGATATGAACGAAAGAACATGCACATGCCGTAGATTTCAGAAGGATGAAATGCCGTGGCCACATGCGTTGGCAGTTGTGACAAAGGAAGGAATGAGTGCGTACGAGTATTGCTCAGTATACTTTAGTATTGATTACATGGTAAAAAACTATGAACAAATGGTATTTCCAATGCCCGACGAGAGCAATTGGGACATTCCTAGAGAAATATCAGAAGAAGTCGTGCTACCACCAGTTGGTTAAGTTCAGCCAGGAAGGCCAAAAAAGTGTCGATGGCAGACAGCTGCGGTAATACAATCTAAGAAGTCCAAAGTTTCTTGCGGTATATGTGGACAGTATGGCCATAACAGGAAAACATGCAGAAATCTTCCAAAAAGAGATTAAGTCTTTTGATTGTCTGTGAAGAAATTGATGCGTCTAAAAGGAACTTGTGTATCTAGTAATATTTCTGTCTTTGGTCTTTATCCATGGTTTGATAATTCAGTGAAAGCTAAGTTGTTATCTAGTTTGTAATCTTATTATCTAAACTAGACAATAATGTCAAAGTAGCAATTGAACTGTATATTATATCTTTCAGTTCATCCTTATTTTATTCTTCCCTTACTGAAACTTAAAAAATATGAAATGAAGTACATACAAGTAACAATTGAACTGTATATCTCTAAGATGTCATTCTGACACCTATAGGATATCGCAAACAAGCACTGTGTAACTCATGTAGGGGATGATCATGATCCTCGTAGTACACAAAATAATCTAATCTAGTACTGTCAAATCTCTATATAACAATCTCATTTTTTTCCGGATAATTTTGGATATTATAGCGAGTTATTGTTATAGATAACATATATTATAACAAAATACAATATTTGGTTCCTAAAAAACTTGCCTAGTTGTTATATAAGGATGTTGTTATAAAGAGTCCTGACCGTAGTAGATAAAATACTAGTGTTGTAAGAAACTCCCAAATATCATATATGCATACGGGGAAAGATTGTCAGACATACTAATGTACTTTAAGTAAGAATGAACAATTATAATGCAACTGAATGTAAACAATATTGCCCAAAAAATATTGTTACTGCTTTTCACATATGAAGGCATTAATATCCTAAATTGTCACCAATGTCATATCTAAGATACTTCTTATTCTAACATCAAAAGCAATGGACTTTTAGACCAAATACTACTACTGTCTTTTTGCAAGTCCTTTACGCTCATTTCTTTTCGTCACCTCCGAATCAGAGACGTAGTTTTGTGTCTCATTCTTCCATAGTTCCATAACAAAACACCAAGCCTGTTACGAAGTTGTATAGCATCAAGTTGATAATCAGTTATATCCCTGCCTTCAATAAAATACTCTGCAAATGATACCATATAGACCCCACAGTCACTGCAAAAATAAATATAAAGTATCACTGATATAATATATAAAAACTATACAATATCAATGTCATAATATGTGTAACGTACGTGTCTTGTTGTGATGGCAGATCATCAACCAATATCACTTGGAAAGGATCCAACATATTCTTCCCTCGGTATGGACCACCATCCAAGTTAATATCACTTGTTTTGTTGTAAAAATCAACCACGTGCATGAAATATGGGAGCACAGTAGCATATGTATCAACCTCCTTAAACACGGTAGCATCATGTAATGCACCTCTCATAGAATCATACACATAAATGCACCTCTCATGGAATGATAATATCCCCAAGACCCAGTGCCAAGCAGCTGAAGCATTAATTGGGAAGAGTACATAGTCGACAGTATGCCATGCTTTGTTGCATAGCATGTAATAACCTTGTATGTAATCAGCAATTCTATGTTTCTGTCGTCTCAATAAACTTTGAATAAATACCTTTTATCTTATCACCAAACAAACAATCAGTTGTGGTGAAGTTTACATGAATATCACGTCCATATTTCCCCTTCTTTCGCAGATAGTAAAATATGACATCAATGTGCTGAATTAAAAAAGATCAAACTTTAACAATAATAATGTAGTTATATAAGTGGAAACTGATTATAATATGGTGTGATATTAAGTATATTGCACATATAATATAATAAATATTTTAAGTAATATTTATGCCTAAAGTATAATTTACTGAACTACAACAAAAGCATTCTAAACTCTAAAAGGTGTGAGATACAATATTGAACTGACATACGGCATTAGAAATGGCTTCACCACTGTATTCTAGTGCAAAAAACCATGACTTTTCCTTGATTTGTGAGACTCCAAAATCAAATATCGGGACTAGCTTGTTGTACTTCTTCGAATATGGCGTTCCCATATATATATATATATATATATATATGTATATTATAGATTTAATGTATAAAACAAAATAACTCAATCAATACTAGTATCTTACCTTTTTCCCTTCAGATTTTCATCAACCCATTTGGCAAACTCATGAAGCATTTCAAAACTAACTTCTTCTGTAATACTTGCTTCAAAAGGAAGCTTTACATTTGCAGCGAAATTGTTCTGCTTATCTTCAACTGGGTTGCCACCTGAACTAAAATCATTCAAATATGGGGACTTAAACACAGCTGCTGGACGTCTCTTTCTTGGCACATTTACAGGTGTGATATTATTTGGCACATCACGCGTAAATGGCTTAATAATCTGAGATTTTGTTACTCCCACCATCTGAGTCTCCAATATTTCACCCCACTGTCCGTACAATACCATTTCTCCAGCTGCCACACCATAGTAAAACCAATCAAATTAATAATATGTTCATGAAAATATTCAATAAATTCACCTGAGCAAATCCATAACTAGTTGTATATCTTATAAATATTCAATATAAAAAATTAATATACAAATATAATATTAATATATATCTAATATTTATAAAAATACCAGAAAGCATGTCCATATTGTTGCGTTCTATATTTTCATCAGCATCATTGACGTTACGATATGCTTGTTTGTCATTGTCCACATTAATATCATGATCATAACATCGATTTTGTCTTGTTGATTGTCCTGGAGATGCTGAAAATATATTGAATTGGTATCACCATCCTTACTGACTTGTCCAATCTCGTCACCATAAATGTTGGTCTCTTTTTCTTGGTTCTTGTTTTTAATTTCAAGAGCTTTAAAAAGCTCGGCAAATTTGTCCTGTATTAACTCTTTGATCTAGTAAAATATAAAACGCAGTTAGACAGAATGATGATTGGTATAAAGAAATATATTAATGTGATTAAATTAAAAAGTGACAATCTGTAACATGCACCATACCTTTCCAATTTCTTTATTCAGCATAGCTTGACCATCAAAAAACTTTTTAAAATTCGCATCAGTTGATTGAGCATCGCCACTATCTCTTATCTGTTTGTCAAATATATGACGCGGAGGAGAGGAAAAATCAACATAAGTGTTGAATCTTTTAATATAAGTTTCATTAAATACCTCCCTTTCCATCAGCAACTCTTTCTCCTTCACATTCGGCTCCCCCCTCGAATTAGTCTGCTCACTCATATTCTCTTTCTTATTACGTTTTTCTTTCACATCTTCAATCACATTCTCATTCCCGGTTGCATCTTCATCCACCTTCTCATTCCGCATCACCTTATCAGTTGTATCCCTTGTATTCTCCTTCTCCGGCCCATTCGCGAGAAATAACACATCCTTTATCATAATTTCCTTCTCCAATTCAGTAGGAGAAATATTCTTCAAGTACAACTTAAAAAGGAGAGAACAAAATTTATATCATAAATAATATACAACAACTAATCACAAATTAATTCTAAAAAAGCTATGTGAAATAGGAGACATCATACTCACTCAGATATGTAGTATTGTATAGTTATATACCATACTGTAATATATGTATATGTTATATAATATATTGTATACAATATTTACTATTAGTATACCTCAGATAATCAATAATAACAATGGAAAAATATACCTTATCAGTTCTCATCTTCGCAATGTGCTTTAAAACTAGGCTATACCTTGGTTTGTATTCAACTTTCCATCCCAACATACGAGGTATTCTTTCTTCCAATCGATGAGCAATTTGTGGTTTAACCCGTTGGCAACATTCATAAAATCAAATCCAAAGGGAAACCACCAATCCTGTACATTTTTGGATTACCTCTCAACTTGTCCTTCATAGATTCCAGGGTGGCTCTGAAAATATCTTTACCCCAAGGGTAATAGTTATATTGACCCTTCTCCACAATGTCTAAGTAAGCTTTTTCGATAGTCTTACTTTTTACATTTGAAAACAGAAATGTATGTAAAAAGAAGAGAATTGAAATCTTTAAGGCATCTTCGTCAGTACTCCATCTTCGTTGTTTGAAACATTCATCAATGAACACCATATCTATCTTATCAGAACCATCAAAACATCTCACAATCAAGTAATTGTCCAAATCAAGATCAGGACAATTCACAACATCACTAGTACAGTTTAAACCAGTCATCAATGCAAACTCCTTTATCCCAAAACGCAGCCTGACGCCATTTAATTCAACCCACAACTCATCATCATTCTACTGATATACCTCCCTCAATAATAAGTAATGAATTAATTGGTTTTGTACACTAATCTTCTTTAGTTCAAGAAAATATCCAAAACATGTGTTCCTAAACAAATCCAATTGTTTAGGTGATAGATATTCCTTCAAATCTTCTATAATGTCGAGATTTACGTGAACACTAGGCTTTGATGTAATATCTCCAGGCTTCTTCACGTATAGATCCCAACGCTGCAGTGAAACAGTATTATACTTGTTCTATAATAAAAAATTCTGCATAAGTAAAAAATGCTAACAATCTATGTTATAATAATGTATGAAATGATAATAATATAACGCAGTAATATCAAGTATATTGAAGGTAAAACAATATACACAATATACTAAATAAGTACCTTTAACTTTTCGTAATTTGAATGTTTTTTCCGGCAATGAACATCATTTTTTCTTCTTCTCTGAACATTCTCCACATAAAAATCATCCTTGACTTCATCTTCTATAATTCTTCCTTTGACATGAGCCTTCGCATATAGAAAAAGCAATATGATAGTTAATGACTATTATATATTGAACTATATTTGATATAATATTTAATTCAATAGGATAGTTAATGACTATTAACGATTAGCGTATATATGCTGGGAATATACTATATATTGTGGGCATTACTACGAAATACGTTTGAGGAACCTTTGGTAGCATCTACTCCGTCTCTATTAACAACTAGAAC